TGCCTAGAGAATCCCAGGGACGGGGGAGCCTGGTGGGCTGCCGTCTCTGGGGTCGCACAGAGTCAGACACGACTGAATGACTGAAGTGACTTAGCAGCAGCAGCAGTATCGTGTCCATTAAAATACTGCTTTCCTCTCTCCTTCCAAAGCCCTCACTCCTCTGAATTTTATCTCTGGATTCTAGACTTTTTCACGTCCAAGGGCCTATGTTCCTCTACTTTCCTCTTATCATGGGCCCATATTACTGAATGTGTTGTGTACTTTTGTTTATTGATATTTAAGTACATATTAAAATTTCTGAAAGCATCATTCCTAACTTCTGGTCACCATGAGACAACTGATGTGATACACAGTGCTGATATGATTTCAGCTACTTAGAAATGGAACTTAATGTTTAAAACAGTTGTGCACTTGTTTTATAGGTAAATAAAAATTTGGAATTGGTATCTTTGAAAAATGAAAAATCCCTCTTGGAAGCTACACTCATAATCATGATGGAAGTAACCACTGCACCTGAAGGTCCTGCATACCTGCACCTTCCATATGTTTTGCACATCCTGAATTATCCAAGCTTCATAGCAATCTTGAAAGATAGATTGCTTTATCACATATTTTCACAGCTGGAGAAAATGAAATGCATAGAATCAAGGAATTTGTTAAATATTACACCCTCATAGGCAGCAGGTGGAGTGTGAATCTAGGCAGTGTGGCCTCAGATTCTATACTAACTCACCTCTCAGACCTGATTTAAGACCTGACTTTCTTCAGTTAAAGTTCATCTCTTTAAAAAATTCTGAATTTTTCACTGACCAATGTACTCTTTAGGAATTTGTACTTTTCTCTCTGCAGATGGTTTCTACTCTTATAACACCAATGGTATGATGACTTACATAATCAGTGATCTTATCTCCAAGTACCTTAAAACTCTTATTAAACTTTTAGGAACAGGGAGGATGTTTTCCACATTCCTCACAATAACTCCAAACAATTTCAATTCAGTATTTAAAATGAAAGGTAATTATGGAATTATGGAAGGTGAGTGGATACTGTATTACTATTTTTAAGTTTTTTCAAAATATAGACTACATTAAAATGGGAAAATTGACAGCTTGTATTTTATAAAAAAGAACAAGGTCACAGAAGAAGAAAAGAAGAAAAGTCACAAAAGTGCAAGTAGTAGAGACTGAGACTTACATAGTTCTTGCTTACTATGAGCCACATCCTTCTTCATTTAAACTGCATAGTAACCGTAATTACCTCTAGTAAACTAGTAGCAAATAGTAAATAGTGAATCTGGGATTTGAACCCAGACAAACTGACTCCATCAACTGTATTCTTTACTAAGAAATATCATTTTTCTAGATTAATATTAATTGTAAATAAAATACCAAAATTACAAAATATAAGACAACAAAAGATAAAAGATACTCAGGACCAAATGTTTTCATAAAGATGTGGTAAAAATAAAATGTGGCTTGTAATATAATTTAATATACATGTGATAAAAATACATTTTTGCTAACCAAGTGAGATAATACAATAAGCTTTCTTTACTTTGCTTGTATGTGCATTAATTTTTCTGCAATATTCTAAAGCTTTATATCATTATATCATTAAGTCAATAATTAAACTATGGAAATTATTGTGAAATTTCACATATTAATGTGAAAATTGTTATAATAAGTCTAAGTGAAAGTCAGAAACTACAATGATGATTTCATTTAAACTACATATGATATTAACAAATATATGAAATAGAAAAATTGTATCACTGTATATTGGAATTGCAGGATTTTTTTCAAACAATATTTTTAGCAAAATACTCTGGAAAATTTAGAGTAAAGGGAGACATGTGTAAGTAAGATCATATATTAGATTATACACATATTGGAAATTTAACAAGTCAAATCCATAGGCAGAAAGGCTTAGTACTTTAATTGGGTAAGTTCAGGAGTATAGTCGAGAGGGTAAATAGTAGTTTCCCAAATTATAGAAATCTTAGTGTATTATCCACACATTTGTTATATTACGACCATCAGTGAAGCTGACATCTTGAACACAAGAAGCATAGGTAAAAATTATCAAAGCATACTTCAACCAAGATTCCAGTGGAGTCAGGTATAATAGACACAAAAATGAACCAAACTAAGAATGGTTTCTTCAGCAGGGCCTCTAATAGTATTAGCATTTAACATTGAAATAGTGCTATTTGGATTTTAAAGAACATAGAAAAGATATATAATGCCTAGAATATACCTGTGTATATTGATGTCTATGTGGATACAAAATCGTCTTTAAATTTTCAGGAAAACTCAGAATAAGATATGGCAAGTATTTGCACTCCATTTCTTGTCTGAAGGCTAAATTTCAAAGTGTTGAAGTCATTTGTCCAAGGAAAGTACTAGTTCTGGAGTTTGTGATCTTGGTTGGAATAAAAAATTTTAAAGGCTATTCATTTTATATTCTCAAAATGCAAACACTTTGATCCAGGGCTGCTAACTTCTGAATCATAGATAGATCTGGGTGAGATTAGGACTTGTGCAGATTTCCAGAGATTCTTACTGGATTAAAGGCATTTGGAACAAACAGCATGCAGCAGAAACTAGGACTTCGGAATTCAGTCCACTTATCTTCCCAAGATGTCTATTTTCTTCTTTCTTCAGATTAAACCTTTGTCAACTAGAGCTTGTCTACAGTCATTACCATGTCAGTGAATAAGAGTGTGACTGAATTCATTCTCTCTGGCTTGACACAGGATGCAGGGAAGCAGAAAGTGATATTTGGAGTCTTCTTGATCCTATACCTTGCAACACTGTTGGGGAACTTTCTTATTGTAGTGACTATTAAGACAAGCAAGACACTTGGGAGTCCCATGTATTTCTTCCTGTTCTATCTGTCCTTTGCTGATGCCTGCTTCTCTACAACCACAGCCCCCAGGTTAATTGTGGATGTCCTTTCTCAGAAGAAAACCATTTCCTACAATGAGTGCATGACCCAGGTCTTTGCAGCCCATTTCTTTGGATGCATGGAGATCTTTGTGCTCATCCTCATGGCCTTTGATCGCTACATGGCGATCTGTAAACCCTTGCGATATACAACCATCATGAGCCGGCACCTCTGTGGTGTGCTGGTGATTCTAGCCTGGGTGGGGTCTTGTATTCACTCATCAGCACAGACTTTCCTGGTTTTGAGGCTGCCCTTCTGTGGCCCCAATGTGATTGACCACTATTTCTGTGACTTGCAGCCCTTGTTGAAACTTGCCTGCATGGACACTTCTGTGATAAATTTGCTTGTTGTTTCTAACAGTGGGGCCATATGTATGGTGAGTTTCATAATCCTGTTTATCTCCTATGTTGTCATCTTACACTCCCTAAGAAACCACAGCGCAGAAGGACAGCGAAAAGCCCTTTCTACATGCACCTCCCACTTCACTGTGGTTGTCATATTTTTTGGCCCATGTATATTCATATACACACGCCCACCAACCACATTTCCAATAGACAAGATGGTGGCTGTGTTTTATACAATTGGGACACCCTTACTTAACCCGCTGATCTATACACTACGGAATGAAGAAGTGAAAAATGCCATGAAAATGTTATGGTGTAGCAAAGCATGACTTCAGCTGATAAGTGTATACACAGGAATCCTTGTGTATATTTCCTTAAAGATTTAGTCCTGCTTTATGGACAGAAGAGATAGCATATTTTTGTCCAGAAGCAAGAGTAGAGAAATACAAGGATATAAAGACAAAGATACACAGTATCCTTATTCTCAGAGGCTTGTGTTAGAAACTAAAATCCATAACAGTTTTGAAGAACCTCTGATGACTCTTACTTTAAGTCCATCAACATCAGACAATACTCACATGATAATTTAGTTTCTTGCACAAATATTTCTTCAGAGAGAAGTGGACTGACAGAATGTGTGTGTGTGTATGTGTGTGTGTGTGTGTGTGTGTGTGCACACTGATTCTTTTTCTAGATTTTGTTTTAGTTCTTATAAAGGTGGTCATAAGAGCTTATCCCTAGGGGACTGGAACTCTACAGAATCACAGTTTCTGTCTTGACAACCTAATGGTTAGAGAAGATTCTCTGAGAAAATGTTACTCTGGAAATCAGTGCCTGAATCCACCTCACTAGTGTATCTACACTGATGACCCTCAAACTCCTATAAAAGCTGGAACTATCAGTGAAAACCTAGACTATTCCTGAAAAACCTCTTAAAATATTGTGAATAGTTAAGAAGATGAAGGGTCTTATATTTGGCTTAATAGGAAACAACAGCCAGTCAATCAATTGCCCTGCAGAGTCCTTCACATTGCTCTTCATAAAGAGAGGGAAGAGGAAATAAGGGTTTGGTGGCACGAATGTGCAGAAGGGAGGGTGAATGGAGGAGGGAGGACAGGAAAGGTGCTTCATAAAGAGAGGACAAGTGAAGGAGTGGCCGTTTTATCCAAGTAGGAGAGAAGCCGCTTCATTTCCTTACACTTTGAGAATCACTTTTGGGAATATGAACATTTGCAGGAAATAATGAAGTTTCAGGCTCTTTTCACACCATTAGGTTTTCTCTGTTATATTCATTTGTGTACAGGAAAGAAGCATTTTTGTTCTTTTGCTTCCCCATAACATCTGAAATCTCAAGTTTCAGGATTCTGGGAAGAACCTGAAATTGAAAGCTTAGCACTTCTCAAAATTGGATCTTTTATTTTATATAAGGTTATTTAAAAAGTGTGTATTTGAAGATAGCTTAATATATAAATAATGTTCACTCACCACTCCCACTACCACAACCACTATATAATCTCACGATTAAGTACTGTCATGCTATTTTAGAACCTGAGCTTATAATTCCAATTCAAATTGGCACCAAGAGTATTATTTTGTGATATTTAAGTATCATTTAATACTCAAGTACTTAAGTATGGCTTTAAGGGAAGCATTTCTGTCAAATGAAGACAAAATGTTAGTATGTTGAACCTAAGATCCCCAATAGCTCTAATATAAAAAGGAGTGACAGGAAAAAAAAATATTTAAGAACAAAAATGACATCTTGTGTATATGTACCATGAAAGATGGTGATGATAACCCTATATGCAAAACAGAAAAAGAGACACAGATGTACAGAACAGAATTTTGGACTCTGTGGGAGAAGGCAAGGGTGGAATGTTTCGAGAGAACAGCACCGAAACATATATATTATCTAGGGTGAAACAGATCACCAGCCCAGGCTGGATGCATGAGACAAGTGCTCGGGCCTGGTGCACTGGGAAGACCCAGAGGGGTCGAGTGGAGAGGGAGGTGGGAGGGGGGATCGGGATGGGGAATACTTGTAAATCCATGGCTGACTCATCTCAATGTATGACAAAAACCACTACAATATTGTAAAGTAATTAGCCTCCAACTAATAAAAGTAAATGAAAAAAAAATGACATCTGTCAGAGCCTTTAATATCATATTCACAAGTTGTACACTTGCTATATGCTCCCTCCCAATAAACACCCCCCATTTTTCTACTTTTATGTCTGAAGTTCTGCTTTTAAAGCATCTCCATTTGATCCTATGCTGTGCTGTGCTTAGTTTTCCAGTCATGTCTGACTCTTTGCATGGGCTCCAGGCTCCTCTGTCCATGGGTATTTTCTAAGCAAGAATACTGGAGAGGGTTGCCATGCCCTCCTGCAGGGGACCTCCCCAACCTAAGGGCTGAAGCCAGGACCCCTGCACTTTAGGCTGATTCTTCACCAGCTGAGCCCCTCGGGAAACCCAAGACTGGAGTGGGTAGCTTATCCCTTCTCCAGGGGATCTTCCCAACCCAGGAACTGAACTGGGGTCTGTGGCATTGCAGGCAGATTCCTTACCAGCTGAGCTACCAGGGACGCCCCTGGTCTTATAAGGATTACATTAAGTGTTACTGGTTCTTAAGTTGTTATTATCCAATTGCTCAGTCCTGTCTGGCTCTTTGTAACCGCATGTCAGGCTTCCTTGTCCTTTACTATCAACCAGAGTTCTCTCTAACTCATGTCCATTGAGTTGATGATGCCACTCAACTATCTCATCCTCTGTCACCCCCTTCTCCTCCTGCCCTCAATTTTTCCCAGCATCAGGGTCTTTTCCGATGAGTCAGCTTCTTGCATCAGGTGGTCAAAGTATTGGAGCTTCAGCTTCAGCATCAGTCCTTCCAATGAATATTCAGGACTGATTTCCTTTAGGATTGACTGGTTTGATCTNAACTAAGACCACAGCAACATTCCCCAGTGACTCAAATACACTTGGTCTACTTTAACAATGCAAAACCAGAGCAACTAAGGGGATATTTTGGGAGAAGGAAGAATTTGCTTGCCACACTGTTCATCAACCCCACAAAGGCTGAAATATGTCTTCCCTAGGGGAAAGGGTATTTGGTCCCAGGATGTGTTATTAGTTATCTATTGCCGCATAACAAACTACTCCAAAATTTACTGTCTTAAAAAAATAAAGGACACTTATCATTTTGTAATTTCTGGAAGTCAGGTGTCACTTAGCTGGATCCTCTGGTTGGAATTACAGGGTTGTAATCAAAGTGAACTATGGTATTGGAAAAGACTCTTGAGAGTCCCTTGGACTGCAAGGAGATCCAACCAGTCTATCCTAAACAGGAGATCAGTTCTGGGTGTTCATTGGAAGGATTGATGCTGAAGCTGAAACTCCAATACTTTGGCCACCTCATGCGAAGAGCTGACTCATTGGAAAAGACCCTGATGCTGGGAGGGGTTGGGGGCAGGAGGAGAAGAGGATGACAGAGGATGAGATGACTGGATGGCAACACTGACTTGATGGGCATGAGTTTGAGTAAACTCCGGGAGTTGGTGATGGACAGGGGGTGCTGGTGTGCTGCGATTCATGGGGTCGCAAAGAGTTGGACACGACTTAGTGACTGAACTGCACTGAACTGAACCTGCTAAATAAAGAGCTTAAAAGAGAGATACTTCATTAATGCTATGTTCTTCTCAGGCTTTTTTTTTTTCTTTCTCTTTTTAAATGGTGTTTTCATGTGAAATACATTTCTCCCTTTTACTCTTATTATTGATTGTCAGGAGCTACCTTCTCCAGGCACTAAAATAACACCACAACTGACTCTATTTTCCAAAGGAGAGAACTGATTCTCACAGCCTTGAGGCAACATAGCCAAGGTTGTACAGCAAGTGAGTGGTGAAGTCAGAATGTGGACCATATTTTCTGACTTCAGAATCAGTGCCCTCAAACATCAATATTTCTTCTCTGGTCATTGCATTGTGATTTTATCATTTATCAATCATGGTGTTAAGTATATTACAATATACCATACTACCCTGCTTTATCTTCAAATAAATATGAAGTAGCTTCTTCTTTCTGTGCTCTTTTCAAATGTTATGATGATTCTTCAGTAATTCAGTGCCTTGCCTATAAATATTAAATCAATGAAATACATCTAAAACTACAATTTCTGAATTATATATTGCTCATTAATGAAGATCACAAAGCATGACGATCTAGCAAAGACCCAGGTCACAATATAATCCACTCAAACCTGAGTCAGTCCTAGTCATTCCTTTCAGTTTTCTCTGCTCCCTAAGTGGAGTTAAGGATTCTAGAATACAATAGCGACAATTCAATCATTGGTTTTTAGGTTCACCAACTATGCTGCTGGGCAGAGTGCCAAGATCCACATTGTCTCATTTAGACCTCATATGATACCATATGAACTATTTTTAACTGAACCAATTTTAAAGAAGAGAAATTGAAATGTTGAGGTGTTAAATCTATTGCATAAGATTATATAACTAGCGTGCTATGAAGCTGGCATTTTGATCACATAGCTCAAATTCTTAACTTCTGTTTTTACTACTTGAAAAGAACAGATTTATGTGGTGTTTCAGGAGAGTTGTTGCAACCTAAGGAAAAAAGTTGCAATGAAAATATGCTTCCTATTATTGGGATTTTTCAGGGAAGCTAGCTGCCTTATTTTATGAATTTTGCAAGAAGCTTAGCTTCAAATTGACATTTGGACTGGAATATTGGGCAAACGATGAAAGGTCACTCTGGCTGTTCAACAGCGCCAGCCCCACCCCTACACTTCGCACAAAATGGAAAGCATCCACAGGAGACTATGGAAGTGCCACTTTATACATTCCTTAATCTCATCCTCTCCCTCCAAGCACAAGAGCTGAGATCTTTCTTGCGAGCACCCCTGTGAATTATAAGGAGCACTGGCTCAGGAGTCAGGAAGTGAGAAGTGTATTTCATTCCAGGCTGTGTCACCAATCTAGCCTATCACTTGAGCGCGTTGCTGGCACCTCTGAGCCTGTCTCCTCATTTTCAATGTGAGGATGGTCCACTCATGAGAGGCAGTGGGAGGGAAACTGTCCTCTTCATATGTAAACAGTCACCCTTAATCGTGTTCATTGACTATGCCTCTCAGCAAGATTTCCTTAGAGAGGTGATTTGTTTCATGTTAAAAAAAAGAAAGAAAAAAACAATTTCTGAATTATATATTGCTCATTAATGAAGATCACAAAGCATGACGATCTAGCAAAGACCCAGGTCACAATATAATCCACTCAAACCTGAGTCAGTCCTAGTCATTCCTTTCAGTTTTCTCTGT